ACAATAATAATGTAATTCTATCTTCTCTGATTCCCTAGTGAGCAAAAGTAATGTAATTCTATTTTCTATTATACCCTAGCTAATAAATAATAATATATAATATAATAATAATAATGTAATTCTATCTTCTATGATTTCCTAGCTAATAACAATAAAAATGTAATTGTATCTTCTCTGATTTCCTAGTGAGCAAAAGTAATGTAATTCTATTTTCTATTATGCCCTAGCTAATAAATAATAATATATAATATAATAATAATAATAATGTAGTTCTATCTTCTATGATTCCCTAATTAACAAAAATAATAATGTAATTCTATCTTCTCTGATTTCCTAGTGAGCAAAAGTAATGAAATTCTAATTTCTATGATGCCCTATTTAATAATTACTATATAATAATAATGTAATTCTATTTTCTATTATTACCTAGCTAATAAATAAATAATAATAATAATAATAATAATAATGTAATTCTATCTTCTGATTCCCTAGTGAGCAAAAGTAATGTAATTCCATTTTCTATGATGCCCTAGCTAATAAATAATAATAATAATATAATGTAATTCTATCTACTATGATTCTCTACCTAATAACAATAATAATAGTATATATTATAATAATATAATAATGTAATTCTATCTTCTCTGATTCCCTAGCTAATAATAATAATAATAGTAATAATAGTAATAATAATAATGCAATGCTATCTTCTCTGATTCCCTAGTGAGCAAAAGCATCCCTATAGAGGGGATCAGGGCAGTTGGGAGTAAATAAATAAACATAAACACAACAATAATAATGATGATCGTATAATAATATGCTGATGATCGTGCCATTACTGCTCAAGCAGGGAGCTTTGAGATGGTAGAACAGAAGCTCTCCGAAGCTCTAGGTGCTCTTACTGCCGATTACAGGGAAAACCAGCTGATCCCTAATCCATCTAAAACACAGACATGCGCCTTTCACCTTAAGAACAGACAAGCATCCCGAGCTCTGAGGATCACCTGGGAAGGAATCCCACTGGAGCATTGCAATCACTTTGGACCGTGCTCTGACCTACAAGAAGCACTGCCTGAACATCAAACAAAAAGTGGGTGCTAGAAACAACATCATACGAAAGCTGACTGGCACAACCTGGGGATCACAACCAGACACAGTGAAGACATCTGCCCTTGCGCTATGCTACTCTACTGCTGAGTACGCATGCCCAGTGTGGAACACATCTCACCATGCTAAAACAGTGGATGTGGCTCTTAATGAGACATGCCGCATTATCACGGGGTGTCTGTGCCCCACACCACTGGAGAAATTACACTGCTTAGCCGGTATTGCACCACCTGACATCCGCCGGGAAGTAGCAGCCAATAGTGAAAGGACCAAGGCAGAGACATCTCCAGCTCATCCCCTGTTTGGGTATCAGCCAGCACGTCAACGACTTAAATCAAGACATAGTTTTCTAAGATCTGCAGAGACACTCAGCAAGCGAGAGTCCAAAAGTGGCAGGCCCAAACCCAGCACCTCAATCCATGGGTGATACCAGATGAGAGACTCCCCCCTGGGCACTCAGAAGACGGGGCGACTTGGAAGGTGCTGAACAGACTGCGCTCTGGCACCACGAGATGCAGAGCCAACCTCAAGAAATGGGGCTACAAAGTGGAGTCCACGACATGCGAGTGTGGAGAAGAGCAAACCACTGACCACCTGCTGCAATGCACCCTGAGCCCTGCCACATGATGCACCATGGAGGACCTTCTTATTGCGGCAACACCAGAGGCACTCCAAGGGGCCAGATACTGGTCAAAGGACATTTAACCAAACACTAAATTTGCAAAATCTCTGTGTTATTTTTTCTTTTCCTTTTTCCCCCTTTTTTTCCTTTTTCTTTTTAATCTGTGTGTTTGTTTTGCTCTGTTAGAATTGTAATACAATGGTTGCTGATGACACCATAAATATAAATAACAATAACAATAACAACAACCACCTGGAGAGATGGGCAGGGCTTTGTCAAGGGAGGCCCACGCCCCTTGGGATCCCCTGCAACTGGCCCCAAAGTGAGGAGGGGGAGTCAATGGGGGCCAATGAGGGTGAGGATACTGAATGCCTCCCTTGAATTCCTCCTGAAAGGCCCCCTTCCCTGGCAGTCCCTCCTCTCCACTCACCTTCCTTCCATCCCGCCTGGTCGCCTTTGCAAGGATGCAGCCCCAAGCTTCTTTGAAGCCCGCCAGGTGGTTTGGGACTCCAACTCCCAGAAGCCTCCGCTGATTCGGCCAATGAGCGAGGCTTCTGGGTAATGTAGTCCTCCAAGAAAAGCCCTTTGGGGAAACCTCTGCTCCTGATTGGCCAAGCGGCGGAGGGGGCGGGGCCGAGGCGAGCACATGGCTCTCCGAGGCCAAAGGGAGGCAGAGAGCTGGCGGCTGTCTTCCTAGAGAGGCAGGAAGTGAGTGTGTGTTTAGAGCTGGGAAGTTCAGCACAAAGGAGAGGAGGGAAACAAGTCAAGGGAGATGCCAATGAGGCAGGAATATGCTATTTATTTGTC